TAGTGTATGAAGGCTTGTGGTGTGCACAGAGGAGCAAGTGGACTGTTGATTAGAGGTCATCAATGACCCTGTTTCCCCAATCCAAATAACATTGTTACTTCTGTCTTAAGCTTCATTTGTGACCCCAAATACATTAAGAAGGGCAATGATGAGGCATCTGGGTGGCTCAGTTGGTTAAACATTTCACTCTTGATTTTGGCTCAGGTCATGATGTCAGGGTCCTGGGATGAGCCCCACATTGGGCTCCCTGCTCAGCGGAGAGTCTGTTTCTCCCTCTGCCCCCTCCCCTTGCTCATGCTCCTGTGCACTCTCTCTCTCCCTCTCTTTCCCTCTCTCAAAGAAATAAATAAGACCTTTAAAAAAGAGGGACAGTGACATGGAGCTATGTTATTTTATTGGCAACATCATGATTTGAGATTCTAACTAGAACCAATGATCCAGAACCAACCTAAACCCCCTAGATCTCTTCTTTAATAATACAATGTTGACAGTTTAGCCATTGTTTGAAAGCACATCAAGCATAGGTGGTTTCCCTACTTGGTCTTGGGCTTAGGGGCCAAATCAACTGACACAAATGTATTGGGTACCAACCTAGTATAAGTCATAATTTTCTATCCTTAAAAAACATGCATGATAAAAATTTGAGAGAAAAGACACATGTAAAAAAATCAAATAATATTACATTTAAATCAAAATTCAGGGAACAAGAAATGTGATATAGGCCAGTGGTGGTAGGTTGTCAGGATTGTGATTTCAGCTGATTTTAAGTTTGGCAAAAAGAAATGGATACCAAAAAAACCAACCAAACAAACAAAACAACAACAACAACAAAAAGAAATGGATGCCAATTCTGGGGTCAGGCTCTTTGCAGCATGATCCAAGTCATTGACGATGGAGGGCCGGTCTGTAAGACTTCCCCACATGACCCCCATTTTGTCTCTTAGATGTGACTCTTTAACTGCTGGGGTTTTTTGTTGTTGTTTTTTGTTTTTATTTTTAAATACATCACGGTGGGCTTAGCTTTGCTCAGACATATTTAAGTAACTGGTCACTTACTGGTCAGTTGGGTGGCACATGGAAAAGGTCACTTTCTGCAGTATTTCAAGGCTTATTGAGTTCCTTGAGAAAGGAGCAGGATCTGTTGGTGGTACCTGCCTCAGGTTTTGTGAGCGTTAAGTCAGGTGATGATATGTGGTGCCTGACAGATAGCATAGACCCACAATAAGTGTTAGTTGAATGCTCTGCAGACAGGACACTAGCTTATGAAAGATAATAATGTGGACTGTACGGAATAATCCACAAGAACAACTCAAAGACTGATTTTCAGCCTTCACGCTTCCCCTGAGGCTGCTTGAGCCTGCTGAAGGTGTGACGCTTTTGTGTTAGGGTATAATCCTGGACTCCTTCCTGGGCTGTGGTTGCTCAGACTGGGCCTCAGGAACCTAGGAGTGAAGGACCAAAGGGTGGCTGCCTTCCCTCCCTGCTCTCACCAGGCTAGGGAAATAGTGAACTGAGTGGACTCTTGAATCAGAAAGACCGGGTGTGGATCTCCTTTAACGATCCTGTTATTTCTATGACGTTTTGTAAAGTTACCATCCTGTGCGTTGTTTTTCTCTCCTAAATGGGCTGACAATGAGACCTATTTTAAAAGGCAATTATAAAGGTTAAAATGAGTTGCTGCCATAAGTGTTAGCATTTATTGGAATTCTTGTGCACGCAACACTCAGTGCTAGGCTTTTTTTTTTTTTTTTCTTTTTTTTTAGGGGCTGTGGGATTCAGAGGATAGTAGTAATGGTGATTATAGCTCACATTTGTCCAGTTCTTGCTTTATGTTGGGCTTTATCCATATTGTTGACCCCTCAAGTCCTGTAGCATTGAGCTAAGTAGTACATAGTCCCAGGAAACCAAGACACATGGTATCAAATAAGCTAGCTCTGTGACTTCACAAACTACAGGGGCAGTAGGCTCACAAGTAGATAATGATAGCATAGAATTCTACACGCAGGTGTTTTGCAATACATATTGGCTCCTATTCCATCTTTTTCCCTTTTCTCTGTGTCCCCATTGGTAGGGACATGACCGATCAATAGCAGTATCATTGGAATCTGAGGATGGGTTGTTCCTCGTATGATCTCATGGGCAATTGTCCTGTCCTGTCCCAACACTCTTCTCTCCCCCTCATTTACACTAAGCTTAAATCCACCTGGTCCAGATCTTTGATTTCACCAAGCCATTGGCTGAGTAGTGGAGCCAAGGAATAGAAGTTTGCTGTCCTGCCTGCGCATCAGCCACTGTGTTGTGGGATTTATTGAATGTGTAACTGAGTTATTTATGAGGTCAGTGTTCTCTTTAGTAGAAGAGTTCCCATTTTGAAAAAGTAAGTTCTTTTCTGCCCTCTAATCCTGGCAAACACCTGTTTTCCTGCATTGCCACTCATCACCATCTAGTCACCATCGTGGATGGCTTAAACTGGCTTTCAGGAAACACTTCTTTTTTGTTCTAGATCAGAAAAGGATGAGAAGATAAACCCACCATTGACCATAAGTGAGTCCCAAATCCCAGAGTTTAAGAAATGTTAAAAGATAGATGCCCCAGCCCACAGTTGCCTGGCTCAAAGGGAAGGCCCGTGCTTCAGCCTCATCTTTGCCCACCTTGGCTCCAAGGAGACATGCCACATTTGTCCCTTGCCTTGGACAAAGTGTGAAGGGGGTACTTGAGGCTGGGAACAGGCATCTGCCTTTGAATCAAGGCCGTGTAACATGTGGTGTTTGGCTTCTTGCCAAGGCAACCTCTTTCCATGAAAAATACACCATAGGATTTAGCCAGCCTGTAGGGGTACACTTCTTCAATAACAGATTTGGGGTTTGGGGAAATCCATACTTGATAAGAGTTCTTGTAATCTGGAGTGAAAACTGGGCCTTATGGAGCATTTCACACTTGCCATGGAGTTGGACGTCATACACACAGGACAACACATATTCACATACACCTGTCAGCACAGAAGGGGCACAAATTTATCAAAATGCAGAAACATTTTATTTCTAAAGAGATAGATGGATAGTTATATATAGTACAGAGTGGGAAGGAGGAGGGGTGGTTCACATCTCCCCACTGACAGCATTCTTTCCTGAAATCTGAGGATGCCTGGAAGATGGAGGTCACTTAAGGATTCAAGGATCAAATTGAGCTCCGTGGTTCTCCACCTTGCCTTGGGGAACTTAGATCCAACAGGAAATGGAAGGGGCTTCCTGATTGGAGGCTTAAGGAAATCTAGTTGGGAAATACCTTCTGAGTGAGGTTGAGAGCTCTGGTCTTTGTTACCAAAGCAAGGCCTTTGGTAGGTCATGTTGTTAGGATCTGCTGGATTTCTTCTGAGGTCATCTTTATGAATGTCTGCATATCCACTTAGGGAGGGCTAAAGTGACCCTCGCCAAATTTTCTTCTAGAGTGCGATGCAACATTTAGCTGCCAGGAGGAATCCTGGCTACAAGAGATGCTTACAAAATGAGCAATATAGAGGCTGACAGGGTCCAAAAACATTCCTGCAAATCTATTTAGAAGGAAAATAGAAGGCCAGGTCAGCCTCTTGGGGAAAGTGTGTGTGTGTGGGGGGGAACTCTGAGAGCTTTGGCTACAGCTGGCCACGAATCACGAGAGGAGACATAAGTGTCAAGAATTGGAAGCAGGAGCTGGATCTCCAGAGGACTCCACCCTGTGATGCAGAATGTGGGTAGTTTAGGGATGCTGATAATTCTTCACAGTCCAGTTCCCAGACTGAGAGACCTAAAAGGTCAAGGAGGTCACTAAGAAAATGAATTTTCCTGAGTCTGCAGAAGACAGGCAGCTGAGGTTGAAGAACTAGCCACCTAGATCATCATTGCTGCTTCCACCTGCAGAAGTGGTGGTGGGACCCCTTGGCTTAGGCGAGAGAAAATACGACGATTCTTACGGAACAGGTAACAGAATAGCGATGAGGGGACAACTGGGACAGAGCCAGAGATGGCAGCTCACGGTTTCAGATTGAGGAGCTAGTGCCTGGGCTTTGAACCTTCTTTATAATATGGCTAAGAGCCCCAGACCTCTCAGCCCGGCAAATCAAAACAAAAGACTTGTCTCTTCCCTAAGACTTGTCCATTTCATCGGAAGGTAACCCTCGTCCATCCATTGGTGTAAAGTCCCAAATCTAGGAGTGATTTTTAAATTTTCCTCACCTCTCTCCCTGTCCGTGATATATCCAGATGTATCCGGAAATCCTCCCTGCTTTCCCTCCTGCTACTGCCCCGTGAGACTCCCTGGGTTCTCCCCTAGGCCACACCTTGGCCTCCCTGCGGGGCGCCCTTCGTCCATTCTAGCCACTGTGCGTCCCATCCCCACACCACTCATTGGCCAGCTCCCCCATAGGCCATAGGCTGCACCCTAAGCACAGGGTTGACCTTGGCTTACAAAGGCCCTTGCCCATTGCCCTGGTCTTACCTTGTACCACTTTTGCTGATGCTGCTTCATATCGGCTCTCTCTCTCTCTCTCTCTCTCTCTCTCTCTCTCGTGCTTGGTGCTTGGCTAAGTCCTGACTTAGGCCCCATACACCTGCTAATTCCCCTACCTGGAATGCTATCTTCCTCCCCTTGGCCACTAATTCTATCCAGTCTGCCATTCAGACTTCAGCTCAGGCACCTGCGTCTCTTCCCCTGACCTCTCAGTATGAACTAGCCACTCAGTCCCTCCTGTCCCATTACTCTGCAGTGACCTGGCTTTGCATGATGACTTGCCTGTTTCTGTCCCCAAGAACGTGAGCTTCGTGAGAGCAGGGCCTGGCCACCAAAACGGTGCTGATCCAGAGGGCGATCACGTTATCTGTCTGTGGGTGAGGGCCCGAACCTGCCAGTACAGGGCACTGATGACCCGTGGAAGCAGGGGCCTGTCGCTAGTCCATGTCTCATTGGGACTTTCTCCTCCCACTGTCTTCCCGGGGTCTCATGCCCAGTCTCCACTTCCCTTGCAGCCGTCCCTGCCAGCTCCCGTTCCCGTCGACAGTACAGCAGCACAGCCCGATGTCTTCCCAGAACCCCCCTGTCAGCGGGCCACTGCACTCCGTGTCCTTGCCACTGCCGCTTCCCATGACCCTGGCTGCTCCGCAGCCTCCTCCGGCCGCCTCACCCAGCCAGCAGCTTGGTCCTGATGCCTTTGCCATCGTGGAGCGAGCCCAGCAGATGGTGGAGATCCTCACTGAGGAAAACCGGGTGCTTCACCAGGAACTTCAGGGTTACTACGACAATGCTGACAAGCTCCACAAGGTATGTGACCTTCGTAGGAGGCAGGAGAGGGAGATGGTTCTCTGGACGGGACAGAATTTTTTTACCTGTTTATGGGGCGGTGGATGCACTGACGCAGTGGCCAGCAGCAGCCCCTTTTGATGCCAGGCGCTGTGCAGAGCTTTAGGGAGATAAAGAAATAGGATACAGGGCCTGCCTTAGAAGAACTTATAGTCCCAAAGTGGGCAAGTCATCCAAGCTCCTACCTGCAGTAGAATGTTAGGCACTTGCAGGAGGTATGGTAGGGGTGTGGCCTTGGGCCTGAGACCCACAGGTAAGTAGTATTTCCCCAGGTGGACGGTTGGAAGAGGGGGCACTGAAGGGAACACAGAGGAGTGAGTTGGGAGAGACAGGTTTGTTTTGACATCCAGGAACCTCAATGATTGCTGTGTTGGTTTCATTAGCTGGTCTCTGCAGGAAGCAGCATGGCCTCAAGACCAAGAGCAGGGTCCCAATTACTGCCCACCATCCATCCTTCTGTTTGGCATTTGTCAGGTAGGGAGATGCCATGCAATTCCAGCCCATGTTGGTGTCATGGGGACACCAGGGTGTGTGGCGGCCTTCGTTCACAGGGCTTTATGCTGAGAGCCATGTAGGAAAGCCTCCAGCAAGATGAACTGGCGTAGGCAGTGATTTCATGATGACCCATGCGTCAGCCTCTGAAATTCCTCTGGGAGAACAGAAGAGTGAAGGGGGCAAAGACAATATAGGGTATTTTGGGGCAGCAGAGCCACAGGGCACTAGAGTTTCCTTTCTGGAAGCCAGGAGGCCTGTGTGATAGGAGTGGTCTTATAAGAGTCTAAGTACCTGGCTCTGTCCTGGACAATCAGGGGCTTTTATAAAGAGAAAAGGTAGGAATAGAAATGCTGCCTGACTACAGGAGCATTGCCATTTGGTCCCAAGTGAGAGTTAATGCTCCCGGCTAGCTGGCCAGTGGACTGTTCACCTCTTAGGTTAAGGTGTGGTCTTTTTGCTGGTCAGCATTTCGGAGTGGTCAGGGCCTCTGATTGCCTGGCACTGCATGGCTGGAAGCAGTGGGTTTGATGGTACAAATGTTCACAGACAGAATCTGCCCTAGCACGTTCGTGCAGAGCTTCCACCGAAAAGGTCTGCAGCTCTCTGGAGTCAAGACCAGACTTGGCTTAGAGAGCTCTGGATGCCTTCCCTGGAGGGAAAAAAAGAAATGAAAGCCAGAAACAAATGGGCTGCCCAAAGTTTGTGGCCTCACTCCCACCCTAGTCGTACCCCAGCAGCTGGGAAACCAGCACACTGTCTCGTGGCCTTGGCTGTAAGTCACTGCTCAGGCCCAAGCCTGCCTCGTATACCTCCCAGGGCAGCTTCCTTCTAGGCGCCATCTGAACTTTGGGAACTTTGAGAGGGAACTTTCCCAGTCCCTCCTGGGAAATAAGTAGACCTTTTTTCTCCCTAACGAGCCCTGTGGCAGACCTGTCTTATGCAGACCCACCTGAGCGCAGTTTGGTTCTGGGTCTTTCCCTGGCTGTCTTTGAATAGTTATGTGGAAGGTGCAGAAATTGGGAGGTCTTGTTTTTCTTCCTGGACTTCTTTATTAACATGTACTTTTCACTGACCTGTTAAAACGTCTCCCTCTCGATTTCGGTGCACATGTCTGTTTTGAAAAACAAAATCAAATCTCCCAGGGACTCAGCTTCCCTGCTCAGGGGATAATTCTTAAACATTGTGGCCAAAAGGATTTTGATGATTGAAAGAGGAAAAAATCAAAAGTTATTTCCCTTCTGGAACTCAAAACTCCTTCTGTCCCTTGAATATTATAAATGGTTCTATAATCATCACACCATTAACCAGTCATATATCAAACTGGACTTGTTAGTTTGAACACCCAGGTTTTGCTGGAGACTGCTGTATTAATTAGTAGTTCCCTGGCTGTTTGTTAACAACTTAGGAGCAAGAGACCCAAGGGCTGCATGGAGTCTGTGACTTAACATTTTGTGGCTTGTCCCTGAGGTGGGCCTTGCCCCAGGTCTTCCCGGCATATGGGCTGCACGGCTTGGCTCATCTGTCAGCAAGTCTGGGGCGGGGACCATCGGATGAGATGGTGACCTCACTTCTCGGTGAGGATGACCCTGCTTCAGCTGGAGACACGTACAGTGCCAGAGGATGTGGCCACCGAGTGCCAGCAATAACATCCAGTCTCAGATCCTTACGGTGTTGGGAGCCTTCGTGGAGATTCTTGTAAGGGCAAAGCCAGAAATAGATGAATTTATAACGACAGGCCCTAGCCAGGAACAGAGCAGGAAGGCATGACTAAACTGAGAGTGTGAGCATGCCAGAGCGCGGCCTAGAGAGGAAGACCCTGTTTCCAGAGAGGTGCAAGGTGGTGATTATCGCTGTTGGTATTGGAATGACAGCTGAGGACCCCCAGAAAGAGAAGCTATTTGTAGGTTTTCCTTTTGGTCACTTATTTGCTCCTCTTTCCTCCCAGTTTCCCTGAAGCCTAATTAATAGCTAAACCTAATTAGTGGGACTGGACTGTGGGCTGTTGGGAGGGTCGGTCTCAGAAGCCATCAAGGCACACATGGGCATTTGAAGGGATGGAGCCAGTATTGATGGTTCCCTGGGCTTGCTTGCATCAGGACCCTGGTCTGTGGTCAGTGCAGCAGCGGTGGCTCTGATGGGGCCATCTGTGGCCGGTCTTTGTCCTGCAGGTCTCTGGGCTGTGCGCTTGAAGGGGCCCAGGGAAGATATCAGTATCTAGAGCTTGGAATGGCTCAGGTTTTTCCAGGCTTCCCACTCTGCTCCTAGTTCTGTTTCTGGAACAAGGGAGTGCTTCCCTGTGGGATTCCGTGGCCTATGCCATTTGGCCTGAAAGCCTCCTGACATTGGCTAGAAGGTAGGTGGGTGCCATGGAGGCAAACCCAGGGCTATCTTCACTGGGTTGTACTGGGACTCTGAACTGGCCTGGGAGGCTTGAGGGTGGGTGGGTTATATAAAAGCCAGCCTGTCCAGCCTTCCCCTCATCTCTAACGAACATCAGGGGGGTTCACATGTTCCGGACATGAAGATATGTGGTTCCTGTTCTGAAGGAGTGTACAGTCAAATCATAGAGCTTTAGACTGAACATTCTTAAAATTCTCTGCCAGTTTCCCACCCCTTAGGGATCCTCGCTTCATGTCCTTGAAGGGAGATCATTCATCTTTTTCCTGAATGCCCAGAGGAGAGAAGCTCCCTACTGGGCATACTTCCAGAAAACATAGTTAGGAAAGTCTCCCTTCTGCTCAATCAAAATCTGCACCCCCTTGAACTTCCTACCTTGGCCATAGCTCTGTCCTCCCTAACCACACCAAAGGGGAGTAATGTCTCCATCATGACAGCTGGCACTTCCCACAGGAAGTACCTTGTCCTGAACTGAGACCCTTGGCCTTACTGGGCAGCTACAAGCATATCCCGGGTCCTGATGCTTTGAGTTTTGGAAGAGTAAACCATGCCACTGTAGGGCTCCTACAATTTCCTTAGCGTGCAAAGGGAAATTCTTCGGAAGGTAGCGAATGCACGATCAGGTGTAGTTTATTAGTGCCTGAGTCTGTCTTTAAGAGTCCTACGTTTGAAGATTCATTCATTGATCTGTGTTTTTCAGGGACAGGGCACCGTTGTAGGCCCTAAGGGATGTTTCTACACTCAAGGGGTTGACAGATGGGAGATGTGACAGTCACATGCACAACAGAATTCCGGGCAGGTGAACGAAATCAACTCCAGGAAAGTTCCTGTGTCCTGTGGAGTTGAGGGAAGGCTTCCTGGTTGTCCTGGATGGGAAGCAGGAGCATCAGCCTCCTGGGGGACGCCTCAGGGTCTTGCTGGCTTCCCTAGCACAAGGTGACACCCTTTGGCCCCCGAAGGGAACTGTCCATCCCTGAGGCATGCCCATCTGTCTGAAAACAACAGCCATCTTTTTTAGGTGAAATTAACATAGAAATGGTGGTACATTTTGGAGCTATCTCTTTGGAAAACAAAAATTAAAAGGAAGGAACATAATTTGTGGGAAGGGCTATGAACAGGAGTCAGGACATGTTCTCTCTGCTGCCCCGTTACCAATAATTCATGGTATCTTTGGAAGAAACAGAAAGGCCTGTTGAAAGGAAGGGTCCCATGAAAGAACCAGCTCTGGTATGAGGAGACCTTTGGGAAGATCCCATAGTAGTTGGTGGCCACTCTGTGGAAGTCCCCATGATATCCAGCCTCCTCACTGGCCTCTTCCCAGATGTGTCTTCCTGGTTCCATTGTAACCTCTGGGGCACTGACCCCATCCTCTCTCCTTAAGTTTATGGCACTGCCGGCTTTCCATCTCGCTCATTGGCTCCTCTGTTGCACCTGCTGAGCAGTGTGGATATTCCACCCCCTCCCTCCATCCCCCCATTCCCTCCCCAACACCTCCCCCCACTTGCTCCATCCTGGGCTCTCTCTCATCTTTTGCTCATCTCCCTAAGTGGTCTCCACTTTCTAACTTCAGCTGTCATCTGGACACAGCAACACAGTGACACAACCCTCTCCCACTTCTGGTGGAATCCTGCTCCCCAGAAATGCTTGCCAGCGGCTCTGCAGGCACCTCAGACAGGGTGCCTCCAAACCCAGCCTGGTTTCCTGGCTCTGTGAAAGCTTCTTGTCACCTGTTTGGGCTGTCTCATCACTTAGTCTTCTAAGCGCCAAATGCTTGTGTGTGTGTGTGTGTTCATCCTTCTCCTTTACCATCCCGAGCACTCTCGAAGGTCTGTTGACTCATCAGCATCTTTACAGTTTGTTCTTTCAGTTGTGCTGGTTCCTGCCCTTGTTGCATGTCATCGAGCTATTCATGTGAGCTTCTCACCTGGGCTCATTTCCTCTGGCTTCCTCTCAACCTCTTCCTTCATTGGTATCTCTTTAAAACCTCAGACAGGGTCCTGCTGCCCAGCTGCTTATAACCCTCCACCCTCCATAATCTACCTCCCAGGCCCCTGAAGTCCTTCCTTTGGGCCGAGGTGCTTCCTAATGTCCCGCTCTCGTCCCTGGACTACCTCTAACACCAGAGACACACACTTTCTTTCATGGCCTTGTGCCGTGGCTCCTGCCCTTTTTTCTGGCGATGGCACTCTTTGGCCTTTCCTGCTTGGCAAAGTCCTGTTCATCCTTCAAGGCTTATTTTAAGTGACATTTTCTCTGAAGTCTCTCTCTCTCTTTTTTTTTTTAAAGATTTTATTTATTCATGAGAGAGGCAGAGACATAGGCAGAGGGAGAAGCAGGCTCCCTGCAGAGAGCCTGATATAGGACTCCATCCCAGGACCCTGGGATCATGACCTGAACCAAAGGCAGATGCTTAATCACTGAGCCACCCAGGCATCCCCTGAAATCTTTTTTTTTTTTTTAAAGAAACCTCTTCTTACCCCTGCAAAGTGACTTTATCTCGAGGCTGTGAGAGCATACAGAACTGCCACAGCCCTGACCATGTTGCTTTGGAGAAGCACGTGTGCCTGGGTAGAGGCCAGTGCTAGACCGTGAGCTCCCCAAGACCAGAAATGATCTTACTTGTTTCTGTATCATTGGCACCCAGGCACATAGAAAACGTGCTGTAGATACCTGCTGTATCAGGATGTGTATTATTTCTAGGGATCTCAGCAGGGACTTTCTGATCTGAGCAGTTGGGGTTCAGGCAGTGAGGGAGCCTGGCTCCTGGTGGCATGGCTCTCCTGTGGACCAAGTGAAAACACAGTGCAGGTCTCGGTGTCCAGTGAGGGGTGTTAGTGCTTCAGCCCTCCCCACCTGGCCTCTGGTCCAACTCAGAGCAGCAGCACATGGAGGTTCCATGCTCCTCTCTCCTACATTTATGCGATGCAAGAGTAAAATGAGAGTTGTTGATGTCTACTTCAAAAAATGCACTACTATAGGAGACTCCTGCTAGAACAATTACAGCTACTTGTAGATTTAAATCTGCCAGAGATTAAAGGCATACAGCTCTTGACTTAGTGAAAAACGAAAAAAGAACGATTTTCACTCCATATCTTTCAATTCGTTCATATAAAGAGGTTTTCTGTGATGCGTTTGTATGTAATTAGATACAAGTCCTTAGTCCTTATGTAGATAAGTTCATAGACAAAGGGCTAAAAATGCTGTGTACTGATGCCTCTTCTCGTATGGGTTTTACATTCCTTGGGGGGTAGGGGGGGGGAGGTCCCTGGAAAAGCAGTGCACTTGGAGTCTGGAAATGCGGGTTCTGCTTGTGGTCTTTTCATTGTTCTGTACATTAATATTTTCCCCTTTCCTAAAGTGAGAAGAATAATACTAGTTATAAATTGCCATACAAAATACAGGAGGTTGAAGTTAGGTTTAAATTCACCCCTCCCTGGTCCTTGTACTGAGAGACTTCTACCAGTAGCATCAGGTAGTCCAGCCAAACTTGAGAACCTGCTGTTTATAGGATCCTGATGTGGCCCTTAGCGGGCAGAAGGGGTGTGGAATCGACTGTGTGATGTGTAGACATGCAACATGGCCTTCACACCCGGAGTATCAGAGAGGCCAGCTAACAAATGCAATACTGGAGCATGCCAGGAATCTCACTTTCACGTCACTTCTTTCTTTCAGTTTGAAAAAGAACTTCAGAGAATTTCAGAAGCCTATGAGAGCCTGGTCAAGTCCACTACCAAGCGAGAATCACTGGACAAGGCAATGAGAAACAAACTGGAAGGCGAGATCCGGAGGCTTCATGATTTCAACAGAGACCTCCGAGGCACGTCCGGCCCCATCTGCATGCTCCCCACCCCAGACTCCCGTGTAGCTGTAGCCTGGCTTCGGGTTCACAGTGTGTCCAGTAGTCTTGGGAAGTCCAGACACCTGGGGCAGGGGCACTCGAAGAACAAGATTGTTCTTTTCTCCTTTGTGGGTTGCGGGTTGTGGGTTGCTGCCCTAGGCCCGAGAGGTGGCAACTTCTGTGCACGAGTTCCTGAAGGTGAGGGAGTACACGTGTGCAGCTCCTTCTCTGCTTTAAAAATACCTAAAGATCTGCTTCAGATTTCCTCAGTAAAATAAAAATAAAAACATAACTTCAAAATCTTAAAAAATAACAAAATAAAAGTACTTAGCCATAACTTTGCAATGGAGATTGTGTGAAAACACCAACGTTGGATGCCCAACCCTTCCCACACCAAGCTGAGTCATTTGGTAGCACTTTGAAAGCCACCACTCAATACTTGCTGGATGTAGCATAGAAGATAGAGCTAGACAGTATCCCTCTTGGAGGGAAAAAAAAATTCCCCAGTTGTGAAAAGAGTAGACATGTATAAATTCCTTGAAAGCTGGAAGCTACCTGCTGTAGGATCTTGGCAGTCTCCAACACGCAGAATGATTAACCCATAACATTTTACTTGTCTTCCAGCGAGCCCAGGCACTTTTTGGTTGCCTCGTCTCAAACCAAGTGGTTTGAGCAAAGATAGAACTCAGTAGATAGAATCTTCATCCATTGGGTCCATTTTGCCTTTTTAAAAAAATTTTGGTTTTTACATAATTGCTATTTCTATTTTTTGCTTCCCCACTACTGGCTAGACGTAGGACTGGTGGTTGGGGATAGACTAGGGCTGGGTTTGAGGCCAAGGAGATATAGCCCCTTTTCAAGGACTTCCAAACAGTTTTGCTGGCCTTTCAGGCAGAGATGTAGTTGTCAGATCCTGTGCTTAGCTGCCTCTTGCTGCTGACGTTAGACTGCATGAAGGCACAGAATGTGCATCTGAAGACTTTTCTCTGGGTATTTTGGAAACTGTTTTCTCTCCCCATGAGTGATTCAGTTTGGGATTCCTGCCTTAGCATCTGCATACTCAGCTCTTGGCACCTATGTCATTTCTGGTTGGGATGGTGACTTAAATCCATATGTATTTCTTCATGACCATTTCTTTTCTGTTCACAGATCGCCTGGAGACTGCCAATAGGCAGCTGTCTAGCAGAGAATACGATGGGCATGAAGACAGAGCTACAGAGGGGCTTTACGCTTCCCAGAGTGAGTCTCCACATTCTCCAAATTGTTATTCTTAAAAACTGAGGGCCTGAGGAAAGAGTCGTGTTAATTTTAAGTAGGTTTTTAAGTAGGCTGTTTGCTCCTTCTTGGTTCATGTAGCATAGAAGCTGTTGGAGGGGGCCTAGGTCTGCCAGACACAAAGCCAAGGCTGATTTCTATTATTTCAGCAACATTTATTCTGTCCTTCTGACCTATGGTTCCTCTCTAACATCCTCCAGGAAATAGCAACATCATAGTCTTTCCTGGCACTCACCACTTAAATAAGGCACCACTCTCCCTTATGGAGAAGGAAGGAGGCCCATGTTGGGATCTGGTCCTCCTGGCATGTTTTGTGCTCCTCAGGTTGAGCAGTTCCGGACTGGCTGCCCCTAGCAGCATCAAGGTACCGAGAGTCTTATCATGCATCTCCATGTGTGGTGCTTGTTTCCAAAAGTCACTGAGCCCACTGCAGTCCAGAATAAAATGATCATTGGCACCCTGGACCTCTAGATATATTGGGAGAATATTTTATTCATCTAACCAGAGGCACATGATAGAAACAAATAGGTTTTGAGAAGCCATTGATCAGAGATTGAATCTCTGCAAACCCATTATATATCATAAATGTAAAAATCCTACACTTTTCTTTTTTTTGAAGCTGTTTAGAAAATTGAAGTTATTTCTGTATCAGCATTCTTTTTTTTTTTTAAAGGTTTATTTATTTATTCATGAGAGACACAGAGAGAAAGGCAGAGACACAGGCAGAGGGAGAAGCAGGCTCCTCGCGGGGAGTCCGATGTGGGACTCGATCCCAGGACCCTGGGATCACAACCCGAGCCAAAGGCAGAGAGGCTCAACCACTGAGCCACCTAGGTACCCCCATATCAGCATTCTTAGCAACATTGTGGATCAAGAGCTCACAAACTAAAGATAGTTGGTTCCCACCACAGAAAGTCATGTGTTCAGACACTGGCCATGCCTCGTACAATGGTGGTATTCTGACGCTTGGCCCCTGAGTTCAGCCATATGTTTTCAAGGCTGGGAAATAATCAGTTAAATTTTCTAATTTCCAATACTGTTTGGTTGGGTTTGAGATCCTTAGGTTCCCCCAAATTTATTCATGGTAGCACTCTAGTTATTGGTCTCAGTTTCGTGTTTTAAATTCTGTTTTGGCAAATGGACACTGATACTTCAAGGGATTTTGCTGCAGACTCCTTGAGTGTCTTATAGTAGATGACTTGGCCTATGTTCAGATTTACATAAACAGCTGTATCAGTGTCTTGAATTGTTCGCTTTCCTAACAGAGTTTTTCTCTTCTTGTGGGTGCAGTCGATCTACCATCTCATCTGAGCTTTCATTCAAAAGAAGAGTCATCTGTACTCTTTGCATTTAGGATTTTAAAATATGGCTTTTGGATGACCATGTGCCTGGGTAGAGGAAGTGTCCTGCTGGTACTCTGCCTCCTTGTCAAGGGATATTATTTTGTCACTTAGTTCAGGTCAAAATGGAAAAGCCAGTTAGTTTCATCTGAGGGGCGTTGGCTCCAGCCTCCTAGCCCAGACTCTGCTGATGGAATATTAAGATTTGGTGTTGTGTGAGTTGAGAAATGTTCCTGAAAACTTTAACCTTCTGGCAGAAAGCCAAAACATCAATAATGAAGGCAAAGAGGGCCTTCCAGTTTTACAGGGAATGATTTGTTCTGTGCAAACATGCTTCACTGTTCCAAAGGCATAAACAAGAGAGTCCAGAGGCATTTTTCAACCTCTTAAAGGTATCTCAGTGTCAATGTGTAATATAGTTGAATCTAGGCAGGGTATTTGAAGTAGGTTTGCTACCAGTGATATCTAACAAACTTTTCAATACCTAGTCTTTACAGGATAGTTGTGCCTTTATCACAACTTTGTAATTATTTGCATAGCTCTTCCTTTCCTGGTGTGGCAAGAGATGGACTTGAGATGTTATTTCTAATTTGCAGATAGGATTTTTTTCTTAGTGAATTGTAAGAACTCTTTATATGTGAAAGAAATTAACATGTTCTCTATTGTATATGTTGCAGATATTTTCTTCAGTTCTCTTTTTAATTTTTGATTATAATGTTCTTTATGTTATAGGAGATATTTTTAAGTAACCATATTTATGCCTCCTAGGCTTTATATCATGCTTAGAAATGCTTATCATTCTCCAGGATTGTAAAAATACTCACCTATGTTTTCTTCAAATGTATTTATGATTTCACTGTCCACAAGGTGTATATTTTTGAAGCTAATTTGGGAGGCACAGTAGAAGAGAAACTTATGAGGGACTACCTAGAGGTAAGGAGACAAGTTAACAGATATTTTGGTATCTAGACAAGAGGAGTAGAGGTCCTCACCTAAGACAGAAGTAGTGATGGCAAGTAGGGGACAGAGAAGTAAGTGACAAAATTAGCAGGACTCAGTGACCAGTTGAATAATGGCAGTGAGAGAGCCAGAGAAAGGGGTGTGACTGAGCAACTGGATAGATGGTCACCCTTTACCAAAAAACAGGAAGAGAAGCAGGTTGGGATTAGCTAACGAGTAAAGGTTTGGTTGTGTTGAGTCATCTCTCGCTGTAGCCTGTAGCTAAGTGAACAGGTGTAACAGTAGATGCAGACATACCTAAGGCTGGTGATGGGCAGTGTCCTTTGTCAGGTTTTGGTGTGACAGAAGGGCAGGCTGGAATTACCATCTCTCTTCGTCATTAATGTGTCCCATTTCTGTATTCTTTTAGAAACTCTATTATTAAAAGACTTTTTAAGTGTTTAGTAATAATAGTTATAAACATTGTGCACTCAAAAGGAACCATCCTTTTCAAGTGAATCTTTTGAGTAAAGATTGGGTAAGAGAAATAAAGACTGCTGACCAAACAGTGGTAACTCCTCTGGATAACACAAGCCAAGGAGCTAAGGCTAAGTTGTGAAGCCCACAACAAACACGTTGGCCAATGGAAAAATTAGAGGGAAGGAGAAAGTAGAGACTGGCTCATTTGGACTTCTTGTTAGGCGTTCATGTTGAATCTAGGAGTCCAGGGCCAAGAAGACCCAAGGAAATCTTGTAGTACAGTTGGCCAGTAGGGCTTTTGTAAAGCTCTCTCAGATAATGAAGGGCCCATCACTAAATATCCCTGTTGCCCAGATTAGTTTGCCTTTGAAGACACTCAATGCTCTTAAGTTGGAGTCCAACAAAGACCTTTGTAGATTGCTGGTGTGCTTACTACTTAGCTCTACAGGTTGAAATGAACACTAAACCAGATGATTATTCTGACCCCCTTTGGTCATGAAGTTTGTCTGTATTAATAATCGCACTGAATGAAGTCTTTAGGATTTTGATGACTGTGAGGAGTTGTTTTTCTCTATCACCTCATGGTGTTGCATCACTCGCTTTGGAGGAATTCAGTTTTATTTGTTTTCTGGATTTGTGTGTTTATTTTTCTGAATATTTTTGTAACTGAACTGCTGAAAAACAGGACATCTAGACAATCCTTATTTTGTCTGTCTGTGTGAAACTGGGGCTTCTTTGTCCTTTAACGTCTTTTACCTTGCTGAAATCCCTGGTTTTCCCATTTGTTTGTCTTGCACCTATGCGCTTGTGCACATTCTCACATGCACACGCACACACATAAACATACACACACACACACAAAGCAGAGGTGGGCCATTGGCCACCAAAGGCAGTGTCCTGGGAATGTCTGTCGTCATTCTTAGCTCTGTCTTCTCAGTTTCTTTCTGAAAACTGATAACTCTGCAGAATTCCCATGCCCTTCGGCCAGAAAGCCAAAAATAAAATATTAGATACAGGGAAACTAGACTGGTAGAGATTATCTTATCATGTTCTCGAGTTGAGTGGGAGCTGATTAGCTGTGGCATATGTGTGTGATTCCAGGATAAAACCAGCCATGTTTGGGGCACCTGGGTGGCTCAGTGGTTTAGTGTCTGCTTTTGGCTCAGGTCCTGATCCTGGGGTCCTGGGATTGAGTTCCGCATCAGGGAGCCTGCTTTTCCCTCTGCCTATGTCTCTGCCTCTCTTTCTGTGTCTCTCATGAAAAGATAAATAAAATCTTTTAAAAAAACCCAATCAGCCATGTTCCACAATGTGCAAGAACTTGTCTCCATCTCTTTGGGGTTCTTGAGGCCTCATAGGTTCATCATATTTGGTTAAACCTTAGTCTATGTAAGTTAGATAGTTAGATTCTGGCTGTTAAATGTGTTCCTCTCATAAAAAAAAAAAAAGATGTTTTGGACATTCAGTTATTTGTCTAAGTTTTTGAGTAATGAGTGAATAAGTCAGAACCATATGGATTTAATTTCTCCTGTAATTCTCACAGAGTTGGAAATTAACACCAAAAACTGTCTGTGACCAACTTGTTTTAAGAATGACAGTGATTTGCCATGTTCCGTGCATCTTGTAATCATCATCTTTCTCTTGAATCCTGTTTGAGGCACTGATTTTCTGTCCCTTGTAGAATATAAAAGAGACTAATGTAATTTCCTAGAAGAACTCCCATCTAGTGTTGGTGGTTCCCAGAAGGGCTTGTGTGAAACACAAGACAGAAGTTACAAGGACATAAACATTGGTTCCATTGACCCACATGGAGCATCAGGAGATTGTTCTGAATCCTCACTGGGTTTCATTACATCCTGTTGTAGGTTTCCATCAGGCTTCATTAGGAAGGACAGGTTAGATGTTGTCACGTATGGATGCTTGGTTTTCCCCTCCTCTGGGCCTGCTGGTGCTTATAGCTTCTCCCAACTTGGAGCAGAGCCCACTGCAGTGCTTGTTCCACCTGCATTCCATATGGGTGGGATTTATTTGCATGGATGCCCTCCTCTAGATGGGAGAACTGTAGACATTCTTTACCAGTATCCACAGTACCCATCCCCAACCCTCACTGAAAGCCCTTGAATCTTTCCATGCACCTGCCACTCAATAAATGTGTATTGAGGGAGTGAATGAAAGTGGAAAAATCCTCATAACAATAAGACTGGA